TTTGTTAAATTGAAAAAAAAAAAAAAAAAAAAAACTACATGACTTTAACACTTCCGTTGAACACAACATAAATTATGATCCATTTGGTTGATCTTTTTCATGTAATTATAAAGAATCAAGACAGCGGCTTTCAAGCTTCTATACACATAAAAGCATCATAAAAGTAGTCAGTATGTGCTGTATTCTGAATCTTCTTAACCCATTCAATAGATTTGTGCATTGAACAGTCTGAAATGAATAAATTATGAAAGAATTTTCATTTAATTTCAAGGATACACAAGAGCAGTGACTTAGTCATTAGTTTATTGGTGCCAGAGGCAAAGAAAAGGGGAAAAAATAAACAATATATTTTTTATTAATAACAATACATTATACATTGTATAATGCCTGAATATTTTGGACAGGTATAAATGACCACTCCTAGTTATCAGGGGATGACTTGGGGCTGTGGTCGATGAGATTCTTATCAAGTGTCTGAATCTGAAACCAGGGTCCATCTCCTTTTTCTCTCATGTGTCGGCGGACTTCAAGTTGTAGTTGTCTACAAGAACAATAGGGGATAATAAATTAGAGATCAACAATTAAGCTACATAAAAACAAGATACATTTCTGTAGGTAGTCTACACAAAGCGCCTTTGTTGTTGTGGTACTGACAATAAATTGTATTCCAAGGTTCGACAATTCCTTCAATATTTTTTACCCAACAGAAGTTTTTGCTCTTTTTTTATCAAATCTCCTAGTACATGGTTTATTAATGATATGTGACCCTGGACCACAAAACCAGTCTTAAATAGCTGGGGTATATAATTTTTGAGAGATCTGCCAAAACTGATGCCTGTCAGCAATAAAAGTTGAGTGTGAAAATTAAGGACACACATGAATACCACCTATCCTTATATTACATATAATAAATAAAAAGATTTTACAGTAAGGTCCCATTTTGTTAAAGGGACCATTCCAAAATGAAAATGTCATCATCATTTGCTCACCCTAAAGTTGTTCCAAATCTGTATGAACTTCTTTCTTCTTCTGAAAACAAAAGAAGATTGAAGAATTTGGCTAACCAAACAGTTCCCTTTTTTTTTTTACATAATAAGGTCCATGGGGACCAGCACTCTCTCTCACACACACACACACACACACACACACACACACACTCTAATAGCAGGCCCAGACAATAGGAGGACAGAGTAAAGGTACACAGGACCTAAAATTTCCACTCTTTTATTAGCCCCGGGTGGACCCAGTGGACCCGAACATCCTGTATGTAATATAAATTTGTGGGGGGGGGAGGGGTTTATCTAATAAACAGACATTAATTATATCTGTTAATATAATTCATTGGATTATATTAACAAATGCAACTTTTGATTTTAATAATGTATTAGTAAATGTTGAAATTAACCTCAACTAAGATTAATAAATGCATCAGAAGTATTTTTCATTGTTAATTCATGTTAGCTAATGTACGTAAAGGAATATTTCACCCAAAAATGAAAATCTGCTGAAAATTTACTTCATGCCATTCAAGATGTAGATGAGTTTGTTTATCGGAACAGATTTGGAGAAATTTAGCTCTATATCACTTGCTCACCCATGGATCCTCTGCAGTGAATGGATGACATTTAGGGTTGCAAAGGGGTGGAAAATTTCAGGTAAATTTCCGGAAACTTTTCAAAAATCCCTGGACTATTCCAAAAAATCCTGGAAAGTTTCCAAAATTTCTGGAATGTTTCCGTCAAAAGTAAAAACTGTGTGTTTAAAAGAAACAAATCCATCAAGGCTTTTTTTCACTTTAAACTGTCGCTTCTGGCCAAAATATCAGTCCATAATCCATAATAACACTTCCTCCATTAAAAAAATAAATAAAAATCTCTGTGCACATTTCTCTCTTCATTCAGACGAAACAACATTTTCACTAGAGAAAGCAATATTATGAATGGAGGATTCCATTTTTTTTGCTGGAAACAGCGGTTAAAGTTAAAAACATCTCATTGATGGATTTTTTTTATTATAAGTACAGCTTTTCATTTCACAAAACATTAATGATGGACTGGAGTTGTGTGGATTACTTGTGGATTATTGTGATGTTTTTATGTTGTTTGAACTCTTAATCTGACGGCACCCATTCACTGCAGAGGATCCATTGGCGAGCAAGTGATGAAATACAACTAATGTACATTTTGGATGGACTGAGAGTAAGTGCATTTTCAGTAAAAGTTCACCCAAAAATTAAACATTTCTTTAACTAATGTTAACAAATGAAATTTTATTGTAAAATGTTGCCAAATATTTAAGAAAATATAACCCTAATTCCTAAATGGAAATAACAAGGACATGTAATTTCTCATTGAGCTTAAGTAGTTGAATCACACGAAGACAGTTTACCTCATTTCAGCCTTCTCTGCCTCAATATGGATAAGCGCCATCATTTTCTCATAGTCCTTCACTGGGCTGTCATAAAAGGTACGAGCAATCCAACGGGTGATGGGATGCTAAGATATTATGAAGACAACCAATGAAAGGAAAGACAAAAAGATGCTGCATTATGACAGCAGCTACACAATTTTAAAAAATTAATTTGATTAACAATGGCCAATGTTCTTCTGGCATATACTGTGTATTTAATGTTTTATTCACTTAAATATCAGAATACCTTGTAGTACTCCCAGTGCTCTGGTTCGTAGCCTTCTGGTATCTCCGCTAACTCAGATTGTCCTGTTTAGTGAAATGCAGACATTAATCAAGTTATTATGGCAGGTACACAAGTTATAAGAAGAACAACGATCAGGTACATAAGAAACTTACCTATGAAAACATTAACAAATGTCACAAGCGCTGCCATAGGGATACCAGTGAGAATAATGTAATATTTCTAGTGTAATGACGTAAGAGTGGAGAGAAAGATCAGATTTTTTTTTTTCAAATATTATTTGAACAAGAATGAGAAGTATAAATAATATGCAACTAAAGCCAAGTACTTATAACAAGCTTTACCAGCAGGTGAAGAAATCTTCTGTCATAGAAGTCAGTGGGCTTGATGATAAACATCCTTTTGCCATGGCTCCCATGGCGGACAACAACTGTAAAAGAACAAGTTAAAGGTTAAAGTAGGTTTAAAAAAATAGCAAAAAGGAGGTCAGCAAGTCAACACACCACTGGTACAGCATTACTGCCTGCAAAACACATTTTTTCTTAAACAGGAAGTCAAATATAATACAGAACTAGTCTGAAGCAAGAGTAACATACAGCTAGAGCTGCAAATCCAACTTATAAGTCCTTATTTAAGTGGAAGTAAGACTGTTACATACACAATGAGGGCCAAAATATGGTGCTTGACTAACTTGGTAAATTAACTGCTTGCACATCAACACTTACAAGCAACGGACAAGACGCTCAAGAAATATTCGGAATCACAAACTGTTAACTATATGACCATGAAAAAACGGCCATGCAGAATATTTACATAGCTATACATTCAACTGTATGTGATAGCTATAGGAAGGTTATAGAGGGGATTGTTGTAGAGGCCAGTTTACACTTGACATGCTAAGCAAGCAAAGCAAGGTCACTGCTGAAAATAATCCTTCTAAACGGTCATATCGTTTTGTTTAGTAACAATAAATATCCTTTACCTTGTTCTGAACGTGCAACAGTCCTGGAGAGCAGATTTGAAGATTGACACGTTCGTTTCAGCGGGTTTAACCTGGCTGTAAAAGCAGCCGCCGTCCGCAGAATGCTCATGCCCACCATGTTTCAAAGGGTTAATAACATTAACAGATTCATTAGCGAACTTCAGCAATACCTTATATTCCTCTTTCCTCCTTCTTGCCTGTTGATTTCCCTTTTCACTGTCCGTTTCTGAGATTTGTCCCCAACTTTTCTTTCTTTTTCGAGTTTCTACCACTTTCCATTCATTACTTGCATTGCCTCCACTATCCGCATCCGCATCCTCCATTTCCGGATCGCTTCCGGAATCTACACCACTTCCTACCATCAGCGCTCCAGTCACAATCCAGCTGTCGCCAACCGCACCCCAATCTTGCTCGAAAAAGGCCTTCTTCTTCTTCTTTTAAATTTAATGGCGGTTGGCAAACCAACTTAAATGGTGCATTCCCGCCACCTACTGGATAGGAGTGTGGAGCGCATAATGATTGGAAGTTTGAGAACTATAGCCAAAAACACAACAAAACAAACCAAAAATGCAACAGTCCTGGAGAGCAGATTTGAAGATTGACACGTTCGTTTCAGCGGGTTTAACCTGGCTGTAAAAGCAGCCGCCGTCCGCAGAATGCTCATGCCCACCATTACTGTTGAGGGAGTGCGTGAAAAAGGCCTTCTTCTTCTTCTTCTTCTTTTAAATTTAATGGCGGTTGGCAAACCAACTTAAATGGTGCATTCCCGCCACCTACTGGATAGGAGTGTGGAGCGCATAATGATTGGAAGTTTGAGAACTATAGCCACAAACACAACAAAACAAACCAAAAAGTGAAAAAGGCCTGCACTGATTGGCTCATCTAACGCAGAGTGAAGCCATGGTCTCCATTGGTAGTTAGGGCAAAATAAAGGTTCGTATATGAATAAGATATTTACAATGTTTTGCATATTAAAATAAAATAAAACAATTGGATTTTTTTACAAGGAATTTACATGAGCACTTATATTAGACAAGAAACGTCGTTAATAGGTGGACATAGTTCTCCATTGCTTGAAGAGAACGCATGAGAATATAGAATAGAACACAGAATGAATGAATTAACGTTACTAGAGAAAACGTGCAAAATGAAAACAGATAAAAGAAGTCTTGAATGCATGATAGTACATTATTCAAACTGAGAAGTCTATCTAATACAGTATTTTAATGTACAGTAATTTACATTTCAGTCTGCTGAACTACTCTAATAATTTTATTCCTTACAAATAGTAAACGTATTGGTTATAATATAAAGAGGCTTAAATTATGGGTCTAATAGGATATAATACATATTATATAACATATATCTATAAAATAATCAGATCTATACATAAAATAATTTGGAAAGTAGCAAAAATAACTGATGAATCATAAAATATTTTTAATATAACCAAAAAAAAAAAAAACGAAAAAAAAAATGAAATAAAAAAAACACTCGACAAAAAAAGTGCCCAAAGTTACACGCAAAGATTATTTTAATATAACTAGCTGATTTTATAGGATAACATTTTATTGTCATTTTTATATTGATGTAAGCTGTGGTGTTGAACATTTGTGAACAAAAAGTTTAAACTTTTAATTTGGAGAAATGTTTTGTTGTTCGTATATACTACTGTCCGACAGGTGGCGCTGCACGCTTCCGTTCATCGTTTCGTCTGACATTGTCAAGATGGCTGCGGCCGTGACGAGCCGCCTGACTGCTGCTGTCTGCAGACAATTTCAGCGTGTTGTTACCGTCTCTTCACACACACAGTCTCAATATGCGGCTCAAGCCTCCTCCAAATTTCATTCGTGTCAACGAAGGTATTTTTTTTTTCTTGCTGATTATATGTCGGGCTGAAATGTCAGTGCATCCTGATAGTGTCTTAACCAGAATAAAAGCAGCATGATTTAATATATCACCAAATTGAGCTTTTTTCCATATTTGTCGGAGTTTAGACGAATGTATGACTCGTGGTGGTTCAGAAGTGCCCTGAATGACCGAGCACTCCACACATCCTGTGTCAGAAAAGGACTGGAAGACTTTTTTGACCTGCCAGAGAACTGGGGTGAACAAACTGTTAAATCAGGTACCAACAATGTTAAATACGATTTTACCTGCGTTTTTATTATTCACAGTTACTATAAATTGGTCTTTGTCTCGAAACATTGAATGACAGCATTATATTCAGTGTCCAAATATTCTGACTAGATAAGAGGCCTACTAGGTTTTGAGATACAGTCAGTAGTCTACCATCATCAATTGATAATAGTTATTAATGCTGTATCCTGATGATTTTTTTGAACCTCGTAGGTGCTCCATGGACTGCCAAACAGCTTAGAGTGAAAAGTAATGAAGACTTACACAAACTTTGGTAATTGAGTAGTTTTTACAGTTTGAAGACTTTTAAAGATAAAAGGCAATCCTAAAAAGTATTAACCAATGTTCCTATTTGTATTTTTCAGGTATGTTTTCTTGAAAGAAAAGAACATGTTACTTACTTTAGAACAGGAGGCAAAACGACAGCGCCTTCCGATGCCCAGTCCAGAGCGCCTCAAAAAAGTATGAAATGTGTTTAAATTTCATTCAAAGTACCGCTTAAAGTTTGGGGTCAGTAGGATTTTTTTTTTTAATACATTAATGTTTTTATTAAGCAAATATGTGTTAAATTGACAGTAAAGAATTTCACGTTAAAAAATCTACCAACAATAATAAATGCTGCTCTTTTGAGCTTTCTGTTCATAAAAGAATTCTGAAAAAAAAAAAACATGTATCATGGTTTCCATTAATAAATTAACTAGCACAACTGATAATAATAAGAAATGTTTGTTGAGCACCAAATCAGCATATTAGAATGATTTCTGAAGGATCATGTGACACTAAAGTCTGGAGTAATGGCTGCTGAAACTTCAGCTTTGCCATCACCAGAATAAATGACATTTTAAACTATAATCGAAAACAGCTGTTTTAAATTGTAATATTTAATAATAGTACTATTTAACTGTATTTTTGATCAAATTATTCAATGATCAGATCTATTTGATCAGATATTTGACCAGTTTTTCATAACCACTGTTCTGAAGGGACATGTTTGCACTGCCTGCGTAGTTTTATCTGCTGCATTCATGATTCTCTTTAAGGAAATGACAGCCAAGAGCAGCTGTTAAGTCTTGAAATTTAAATACAGGGTGAATCTGTGGCTGTTCTATGCATATTCAATTTATCAGGTGTACATGGATGAATGAATATCCATTCTGAATTCTTTTAATAGGTTGAAAGGTCAATAATGCGTCTTGACACGGTTGTGAAAGAACGTGAGGATTCTCTGCGCTTACTGCAGACAGGACAAGAGAGGGGCAGACCGGGCGAATGGCGCAGGAATGTTTTTGGCAAAACCTTCTGGTAAGCAAATCAAATGAGTAAATGTTTTGCAGATTGTTCTCCTATGCACATAAATTTTGTGTTTGTGTAATGTAACTTATAAGCATGTTTGTTCACCAGGTACCGCTTCAGGGAACATCCAATCCCCTGGTATCTGAATTCCAGATACAAAAGGCGGCGATTCTTTGAACCATCACATGTTGCCCCGTACACAAGGTAAGTCTCAAAATTTACAAGTCAACAGAAAAATGTTTCCCCATCAGATTAACTACAAATTTAACTGAAAATTTGATTTTATGGAGCATCTGGGACATGGTGATGGAAAAATTATATTTCAAAGATTTTGTTTGCTCACAAACTCTTCACATTTGTTGCAAGTTTCTCGAGTGAACATAAAACTTTTGAATTTTTTTTGTTCCTCCATCATGGGCCTCCTTAAAATAGTTATTTACACGATTCATTCAACCAGCTGATAGATGTTGACGCTAACAGATGATATTACATTACGCAAATGACATTTCTTTGATACACTGTAATGTTTAACTCTGCTGTTCTGAATTTTAGGTTGAGCCTTGAAAAATACCTGAGGAGCAAAATACGGAAAGAAACAAGAGAAAATAGAAACCAAAAAAGGCTTGCTGCAATGTTTCCAAAAAAGACTGCACTTGCATCAGACCACTGAAAAGACTTTTCGCATTTAATATTGTCTTTTCAACACACAATACTTTTTTTTTTTCATTTCTCCAAATGTTTTGGAGACTCAAAATATGTTGTACAGTCAAATGATAAATTCACACTTGTAACCGAGACTGTTGTTTTGTATATATTTACCTAGTTTCATTTTTATGACTAATGTCTAAATGAGTGAATTATAAGGACTGCAAGTCATTCTCCCTTTTGAATAACTTTAAGGGACACATTTAAATATAGGTTTTCCCCAATATGCAAGTCTGAATAAACAAGTTGAAATGTACTAAAGATTAGAACAAAAGTTTAAATACAAATGTGCACAATCACTAAATTGGCAATCTTACCTCTTCAAGTAATAGGAGAGAAATTTAGACAAGTTTAACAAAAAACAATTTATTCCCAAAACAGCCGATTAATTGTTAAAAGCATCAAATTTTTCCTGTGATGCATTTTCTAAGAAGTGGCAAAGTGGTGTAAATCAAAAAACTATTTCAACTGTTCTAAGCACTGATACAATTGAGGGACATAATTCCCATTTACCAAACGACAACCTTGTCACTGTTACTTTAATTATTCAGGTGGTCAGAAACGGGATATCTGAAAATATTGTGTGGAGTAGAAAAGAGTGCAACCATGTCAAACTGTTTAAAATATGGTTTGTTTGCAAATAGAAGTCTATGTAATGTCCCCATTTAGATAGCTAAGTAAACGTGTGTGTGTGTGTGTGTGATACATGTCTTGTTTTTATGTTTCATATTTAGTTAAGTACAATTAATGTCCACTGTCCCTCAGTGCACTGTGGGTCAAACGTTAGGAATAATTAAGATGTTTTCATGTTGTTGAATAAAGTTTCCTTTGCTCATCAAGGCATTTATTTGTTTTAAATACAGTAAAAACAGTTTTCACATTACCTTCTTTCTTCTGTGGAAAAGTTATTTCGAAGAAGGGTGATTATTTTAAGGGTTATTATTCTAAAGCAATGTACCGGTAACTTTCATTCAGCAAGGATGCATTAAATTGATTAAAAAAATGACAGTTACAGACATTTATAATGATACAACAATTCAAATTAATGCTGTTTCAGCATTAATTTATGTTTCAAATAAATTTCTGTTCATCAAAGAATCCTGAAAAAAAAAACATGTATCATGGTTTCCATTAATAAATTAACTAGCACAACTGATAATAATAAGAAATGTTTGTTGAGCACCAAATCAGCATATTAGAATGATTTCTGAAGGATCATGTGACACTAAAGTCTGGAGTAATGGCTGCTGAAACTTCAGCTTTGCCATCACCAGAATAAATGACATTTTAAACTATAATCGAAAACAGCTGTTTTAAATTGTAATATTTAATAATAGTACTATTTAACTGTATTTTTGATCAAATTATTCAATGATCAGATCTATTTGATCAGATATTTGACCAGTTTTTCATAACCACTGTTCTGAAGGGACATGTTTGCACTGCCTGCGTAGTTTTATCTGCTGCATTCATGATTCTCTTTAAGGAAATGACAGCCAAGAGCAGCTGTTAAGTCTTGAAATTTAAATACAGGGTGAATCTGTGGCTGTTCTATGCATGTTCAATTTATCAGGTGTACATGGATGAATGAATATCCATTCTGAATTCTTTTAATAGGTTGAAAGGTCAATAATGCGTCTTGACACGGTTGTGAAAGAACGTGAGGATTCTCTGCGCTTACTGCAGACAGGACAAGAGAGGGGCAGACCGGGCGAATGGCGCAGGAATGTTTTTGGCAAAACCTTCTGGTAAGCAAATCAAATGAGTAAATGTTTTGCAGATTGTTCTCCTATGCACATAAATTTTGTGTTTGTGTAATGTAACTTATAAGCATGTTTGTTCACCAGGTACCGCTTCAGGGAACATCCAATCCCCTGGTATCTGAATTCCAGATACAAAAGGCGGCGATTCTTTGAACCATCACATGTTGCCCCGTACACAAGGTAAGTCTCAAAATTTACAAGTCAACAGAAAAATGTTTCCCCATCAGATTAACTACAAATTTAACTGAAAATTTGATTTTATGGAGCATCTGGGACATGGTGATGGAAAAATTATATTTCAAAGATTTTGTTTGCTCACAAACTCTTCACATTTGTTGCAAGTTTCTCGAGTGAACATAAAACTTTTGAATTTTTTTTGTTCCTCCATCATGGGCCTCCTTAAAATAGTTATTTACACGATTCATTCAACCAGCTGATAGATGTTGACGCTAACAGATGATATTACATTACGCAAATGACATTTCTTTGATACACTGTAATGTTTAACTCTGCTGTTCTGAATTTTAGGTTGAGCCTTGAAAAATACCTGAGGAGCAAAATACGGAAAGAAACAAGAGAAAATAGAAACCAAAAAAGGCTTGCTGCAATGTTTCCAAAAAAGACTGCACTTGCATCAGACCACTGAAAAGACTTTTCGCATTTAATATTGTCTTTTCAACACACAATACTTTTTTTTTTTTTCATTTCTCCAAATGTTTTGGAGACTCAAAATGTGTTGTACAGTCAAATAATAAATTCACACTTGTAACCGAGACTGTTGTTTTGTATATATTTACCTAGTTTCATTTTTATGACTAATGTCTAAATGAGTGAATTATAAGGACTGCAAGTCATTCTCCCTTTTGAATAACTTTAAGGGACACATTTAAATATAGGTTTTCCCCAATATGCAAGTCTGAATAAACAAGTTGAAATGTACTAAAGATTAGAACAAAAGTTTAAATACAAATGTGCACAATCACTAAATTGGCAATCTTACCTCTTCAAGTAATAGGAGAGAAATTTAGACAAGTTTAACAAAAAACAATTTATTCCCAAAACAGCCGATTAATTGTTAAAAGCATCAAATTTTTCCTGTGATGCATTTTCTAAGAAGTGGCAAAGTGGTGTAAATCAAAAAACTATTTCAACTGTTCTAAGCACTGATACAATTGAGGGACATAATTCCCATTTACCAAACGACAACCTTGTCACTGTTACTTTAATTATTCAGGTGGTCAGAAACGGGATATCTGAAAATATTGTGTGGAGTAGAAAAGAGTGCAACCATGTCAAACTGTTTAAAATATGGTTTGTTTGCACTAAAAATAACAGTAAATGTCCTTGTTAGTTCCTGAGTCCACTAAGAAGGCTTTTCTACTAGGTGGTGGTGGTGGCGTATTTTTTTCTTTTTCTTCTTTCCTCTCCTTTTGAAGGCAACCAGGTGTTGATGGAACTGGTTAAGGGCACTTCCTGTCAACACACTGTTTCCCACCTTCCTCATACTCCTGTTTTGAAATCCACATTTGCTGGAAAGTTCCCTAAAAGTAACAAAAACAGAGTCATAATTAATATATTGCGGTGTTGTTAGACTGAAATGAAGGCAATATGCTATGGTAGGGTTGCCAACCGTCCCGTTTTTTGACTGCCACGCTGATGTAACCACTGACTGATACAACAGCAGCAGTGCTGATCACTTGAGAATGGTCACCGACACCGGTCATCATCCAATCACAGCCCCCCTCACGCAGTATACGTTAAGTAAATCAGAAATCGTGAACTGTAACTGTTCGAGGAAGGCTGCTCAATCCTCTGCCGGCTCGTCGCTCCCGCCTCACAGCAAGTGGCGCTCACGCTAACGCCAATTCCGTCCGTGTTTTCACTTCAGTAAATCAGTTTTGGTGAATACAAGGGGTGTTTATTTTACGTGATTATTTTTCATGAGTCCAACATCCCGCCGCACAAGAGACGTGATCATTAAGGGAAGTCATCTTTCACTATTGTAATGTAGTTAAATAGAGAAAAACATTTTATATTTAAGTAATAGCATAATTCTTAACCATGGGCCTTATTCTTGAAACAAAATGACCAATAACAAGGTGTCGCCAATTCCGGCCGTGTTTTCACTTCAGTAAATCAGTTTTGGTGAATACAAACTATGTGATTATTTTTCATGAGTCCAACATCCCGCCGCACAAGAGACGTGATCATTAAGGGAAGTCATCTTTCACTATTGTAATGTAGTTAAATAGAGAAAAACATTTTATATTTAAGTAATAGCATAATTCTTAACCATGGGCCTTATTCTTGAAACAAAATGACCAATAACAAGGTGTCAAGCACCAAAAGCAGCCCATATTAAATCTATAATCTATAAGCCAACCCTAATCAAACACACCTGAACAAGATAGTCACGGTCTAAGGGTTACTATAAAGCTACAGGCAGGGGAGTTTTAATCAAGGTTGGAGCAAAACTCAAAAAAGAAAATTCACTGTTTTTTGATCCTGACACAAAATGACCAGCTAACATTCATTGACTAATCATATCAACAGCATATGTGAAAGTGTGAATACTAGTCAGGTAAATCACTATCATACTAATTAGATAGTAAGAGCAGACTGAATGATATAAAAGGAGGGAAGAAGCACTTCCAATCATTGTAGAAAACCACCAGCTAATCTGTTTTCCAAAAGATAACTTCTCTTATCTACCACTTTCTGGGTGCCCAAGGTTGCAGAGGCATATACATTTTAGGATTTTAATGAGCTGTCAGGATTTTAAGGAGTTTCACACACATTATCTATTCACTTTTTATTTATTTTCCTATTATCTCATCCTGTGGCATCTTCCATCTCTGCTACTTCCTTCTGTATTCTCCATTCATATTGCAGTCATGTTAACCATGAGGCCTATACAGTCACTCAGTTTGGCCTTGAGGCCTTCAAATGCACCCAGCTCACATATGAGGCAAACTAACTTTCACAAACAAGCAAAGTAACTTCTTCAATTGTTTTCTGTAGGGTAAATAAAATATTTCATCACCCTCTGGCAGAACGTTGTCTATGGGAAGAAGGTTTACCTTCCAACATGACAATGACCCAAAGCACACAGCAAAACTGACCACACAGTGGTTGAAGGAGA